CCTGCCCTGCCCTGCCCTGCCCCCCCGCCCAAACCCCGCCCCCCCCACCCCCCAAACCCGCCATGCCGCCTCGCTCTCGATAGCTATTGACGGTATTGACGGCTAGCCGTCAGCAGCCGGCCGTCCCTCCTGCTCCAGCACCCTGCCCGCCGTTTTCGAGGGATCGCACACCAAGCGTGCATGCAACCAGTCGGCAAACTAGGACAGTGTTAAGCATAACTAGGCCACCCAAACAAACGTATCCGGAGCGCCTTTTGCGTGCACCATCGGCGTGCATCCAACCAGACCCCAAAACAGGACAGTGTTAAGAATAAGAAGGCCACCCACACAAACGTATTCCACTAGGTCTGCGCCGAAAAGTCTCGATTCCCGCACCAACGTCCAGCCAGAGGTTTTGCACCGAAAAGTCGGCCAGTGTTAAGCATAATAGGCCCTTTTCAAGAGATATACCATAGTTTCCATAGTTTAGGGCCCTTCAGGTAATGCAGGATTCCATATCATCCACAGTATTAAACCCTAAACCCTTAACCGTAAACCCTAAACCCTTAACCCTACCCTATATAGTAGGCACCTGGGGGGTTACTTGACCAAGTGCACGGTGTCAGATCTCAGAGCTGCTCCTTGCCTTCCATGGCAGTAGAGGCCCAGCCTGTGCGACCCATTTGGGGCGCGCACCGCTCCATGAGGAGCTCAGACGGTAAAATAGGGGCCCCAACACTTAGAATAGGGTTTGGGGGGTATGCTATACAAAAATTATAGCAATTCCTCTGAATAGTATTCGTATTATTTGGGCCCCTATATCACCGGGAGCCTGGAGACCTTGGCGTTTTAGTTCCATCCAGGATGCTACCTGGCCATCAGCAGCTGTCGGGAAGCAAAAGCAGCAAAGGCCCGTCAGAAGCCGAAACAAAAAGGCAAAAATCCCTGCCGAGCTCAGACTTGGGGCAATCCCGTCGCAAGAGTCCTTGGGGCTGGTGCTACTGTGCCCTAACCCTCCAGGTACCTACTATATAGGGACCTAGGGACTCTAGTACCCTATATAGTAGGTACCTGGGGGGTTAGGGGTGGGTGGTCTAATAGGAGCATTTAGGTAGCCATCCTGTGCAGGAGACGCTACTTCTCTATGAAGCTTTTGGAATCTGAACTATAGTTCGTATGTGCTGGCCAAAAGCGTCTCCGAGTGAGAACTACACTGTTACATGCCAGAAAGGGTTGGAGAGATGTATCTGGACAGGGTTTGGTGGAGCCTCTTCGAACATGGCTACTCATTACCGTACCCTGAGAGACGAGGATGCCAGACGGCTCCCGGAGTTTGAAGCAGGAAGGCTTGTGGCTTGCATTGGCACGCGAGGTGCATCCTACAGTAGGGTCTCTGTCCAAGCCTGTATTCACATAGTAAAAGCATGGCAGCGTGTGGGCTTTATGCCTGGAAGGAGAGAGCCCAGTTGGAAGCGATCCGACTTGCAACGGAGGCCGAGGCAGGTGGTTCGAAGTTGCATGAGCGAGCGCCAAGCCAAACATAGTTTACTGGCCATCTTCCGGTACTGTCCTGAAGCATGATGCCCAAATGGGATTGAGAGCTTGAGGGCATAGGCTGAGGCGTAGGGCGCGAGGTGGCCCAACGTGCCCGGACGACCGTGTATTTCCCATGTCTCAAGTCGTCAGGTATATGATAGGTAGTGATAGCCGTATGCTGCTTCAGCCAAGAGGCCGCTGATGATGATGATGATGACGATGATGATGATAATGATGATGTTGGTTCCGATGCCTTTGTCTTTGCAACATATGACATAGAGACCAGCTTGCCGAGTGAATAGGAATGAAGGTAGAGGCAGATGAACATCAAGACTGACTGTCTGAAATGAAAGACCTAACTGGTGCATGTCAGTGTCCTTCCCCATGTGAACAACTGTTCGTTGCAGCGGCATCTCTCACGGCTCGAGCTTGGCCAACTCGCCTAGGGAGACTTTGTTTTGCGTCGCCTCCATTGCGCTGCGCCATGTGCGAGTCGCGGTTCTGCACGAGTGATGTCAGGAAGACTCTGGTCCCCAAACCGTTGCTTAAAGGCCTCAGTTGGCGACAAACAGCTTGGTTGAATCTTCAACGCTCTGAAAAGAAAAAACAATGCAGCCAACTACAACAGAGGGTCCTCGAGAGCCTGTTGCCTGACATTGTAAGAGATAGCCACGCCCAGGCATATGTACGTTCATGGAGCTGTATCTCTACCTGCCTTAACCTCGTGCTCCAGTCACGTGTTGCCGTTATCAGTTGCCTCAACAAGTCGACGTGTAAACGGTATGACTTACATCTTCGTCTCTTGGAGCATGACACAGCCGCAGCACTCAGGGTGCAGGGGAGCATGTTGAACCCGAAGTCTTGACTCCACAACTTGCAAGACGAAGCAGTCCGAGTGGCAAGTCATCAGCAGTCTAACTGTGGGCCTAAACTGGGTGTCAAGCCTGACTTGGAGATGTGGGGAACTTAACAAAGAGGGATTATGCATCAGAAATCCAGAACTACAGCGTGCTGGAGGCCTTTTGTGGCGTTACTTGTAACAAGTTGGCCGCTTAGTTAGTCCGCCGGATCCCCGAAGCTTTCAAAGCTCAGGTACAATGCCCTCAACGCCAACGCGTTTGCGTATCCGGCCGGGCCTCAAAATCCCAAGGCAAGGCAGACTGCCTTGGTTGGTATATCAGTAATGCGGCATTTGCCTAGGACCTGCGTGCTGCAGGCCCTGAAACTGAACACCCGGGTCCCAAAGCTGAGAGAGCATCTCGCGATAACAGCCAGTACTTTGATGTTGGGAGCGACAAAATATCTAAAGCGTAGTGGTAGGTTATGATGTTGTCATTATGAATTCACCATGTTACCATGATGGAAACATAAACGCTGAATGGCAGCCCTTCTCAGATTCTCTAGAATTCTGGTCCCACCTTGGGAACAGGTTACTTACCAACCTTGCAATAGCTTCCCGACCAGCAGGGCAGCAGGATTCCTTTGGTATAAAACTCATATTGTCAATCTTACTTCTAGCCCAAGCCCTGCTTTGATGGGTGAGGCTTTGAAGAACTGTATGATTGTCGCAATTCGCTGTGTAGGTAAGTCGGCTTATAGGCTTAGCGCCGCCAGGCATCAATCCTTGCCATGCGAGAGGGGAAAAATCTTTCTAAACACGGCAGTAAGGTGGTAGGGAGTCTTTGCAGGAAAGGTGCGATCCGGAGGTCCTCTCGAGCCACTTGGTTTCCCTCGCGCTGACTGCCTCCGAAACCCATGCATTGGTTGAGACCAAAGCTTCAACAACTCGCCTCCGTCGATCTCAAGGCACCTTCTTACTAGAGGAAAAATTAACCATTCATGCGTGTTGGATAGGAGATGATAGGAGTTCCTGGGCACGACCCCGCCCCCTCAACCCTAGGCTTCAAGCTTAAAGCCGACCCAAGACCGTACATGTCACAAGGGTCAGATAGCCTTAATCCCTTGCAGGCAGAGCCAGTAGTGGCATGTATAGTGATCCCGCAAGGATCCCTGAACACATATTTTTGGAAGCTTGTTGCTCAAGCGCTCGCTAACTTGCGAGCCTATGCCTCACAATCATCCCCGCACGATTGCTCCCCTTTTCTGCAACTATAACAGCAGCCCTCACTTATTTGAAAAAACCTTACGGGAGCCCTTCAAGTTTCCCGTATCGCAGACCTTGCAGGAATGTAGCCTCCTGATTGTTGGAAATGTAAAGCCCTGGTTTAAACATGGCAATTGACTCTTATAGGAACCCTGTTTAGTAGCCCTACCTAAGATTACAGTAGGCAATATGGCAACATGTAGTAGCCATTATCGGAACCCTTCTCGGAATGTAGCTTATCAGCCTTACGGCAAGGCCGGCCGTAACTCCGTGGACGAGCTGCTGATGACTGCCGCCAGGGCCGCTTGGTAGCAAAGAGCCCAGTTAGGAATGAAGGGGTTTATAGGTTTTAGGGATTGCAGTTTAGGGGCGTATGGTTGAGGCTAGCGCGCAGCACTTACAATTAACAAAAACCCTTGATCCCTCGAATCCTGTAAACCTAGATGCCCAGAGTCCGGAAGTTTGAACGGGCTCGGGTTTTGCTGTTGTTTTTTGCTTAGTCTGGCTGACCGAGTAAGTTGCTTAGATACATGGTACAAGTCGTTGCTGATTCGGGGTTGAGGCTTCTGGTTGAGGCACAGCGGAGGGATTTGCGTCTAGTGACTGGACGTGAAATCGCCTCGCGCCGCTCGCACGTGTTCGCAAAGCGTTGGCCAGTAAGCGCAGAGGAATTTGCGAGTGCCGGGGGTAAGCTAAGGGGCAACTCGAATTGTCCTGGTATGCGGCAAGCAGACCCACAATCTCACACCAACTGGTTTGGGGTTTATAGGTTTCTACGGTCCAGGGTGGGGGGAAGGTTGTGCAGCTGCAGACTGTATGGAGTTTATCCTAGCTTATACAGCCCTCAAAGCGCCTTCTTTGAACCCCTTCTAGTACCCTTGCATACCCTTATCTAGTGCCCTAAAGGTGCTTCTCATCTCCTAAGAAAAGCACAACTCTAGCTTGCAGTAATGTTCCCACAACAGAGTTCCCATGTCGATGGAGGAACATGCAATAATGTACTTTCAAGAGGTTGCTCTGAGTATGACATCCAGGGCCTTCAATCCTCACGTTTGAAGCCTAGACTGAGAATGTAGTGGGATGCATGTCCCTCGGACACACACCTCCCGTTACTCCCGTTCTTGCTTCGATGCGCTTTAACGTCTGTGCGAGTTACTAAGCCAAGCTTGAAGCTCAAAAAATGGTGAAGAGGTTCTGCTTTCGGGTGGCAGCCCTTGGCAGGCTATTGCTGAATATCAACATGAAGCATAATCTGCTATATAGGCTTTAGGTTTCTTATCGGTGGGGCAGGGTGCCTCGGATTTGTGTTGTGACTGCTGCTGCTGGTGTTGGAGCCCCGGTAAAATCATGAAGCAGCCTGACAATCCAACTGCATGCCTGTTCTGCCTCCATTATCCCTATGTCGGCTTGTCATCCCAGGAGAGCGCAAATGCGCCGAACCGGGCATTGAAGCGACGTGTCCGTCAACGCTTGCACAAGATTCTTTCCTCAAGCCCAGTGTGTGCAAGAATGCTACATCATGCCACGAATCACTGGACCCTTAATTAAACCTCGCAGGGTTTGGTGGCGTGATCATGACTGCAGTGCACGCATCTTCGGGCCTTCAGTTGTATGACGCTGAGGTAATTCAAGGCATGAAAGTTTTTTTCAGCTGAAAAGATCGCGATCGGAGATCTTCAACTCCGAACCGTAAACCGTAGCCTGCATTTTTTGCATATGTTCTTTTGGATGGCGCATGGCTGCCTCAGGCTGACCATGTTTTGTCAGCAGCAGAAATTGGTACAGATATGTATGATAAGAGCTGCACGCGTGCATTTCCCTTTAAGGTAAGCGGCATGCACATATCTATGGCCCATGTTGCGAAAAAGCACTGAAACTCTGACCGCTGAGACGTGGCTGATGTTTGTAGGTCAGGCTAACCCGAAACCATGGATGCAGCCAGGCTCCTGGTAACAAACGGGAAGGTTCTGCGACTTGTGGGCGGAAAGATTAGCTGCCGGCATTTTTTTCTAGCTGGCCCCTGCTGGGAGCTTCTAGGTTTGCGGAAGTCTTGAAGATACTTCCGGCAGAGGGTTGTTCTAGCTGACCGTATAAGCCCTAAACCCTGAACCATCAAGTCATCTTGTTTTCACGCCGACTGCGAACACATGGATCCTCGCCTGGCTGTCCGAGTTGTGAGAGTGTAAACCTCCCGAAACCCGAAACCCTAAACCTTGAAATGTAAGGTTCTACTTGGAGGTTCATGGGCAGTTATAAGTGAGGTTATAAGTCCCCTCATATGGGTTATAACTACAGTTACCCTACTTACAACCCCACTTATAACTACCCATGAACCTCCAAGTAGGGCTCAGGGATGCCCGGAGCCCCCGAAATCCAAAGCACCATCACATGCATCTCGGGGTTTTGCCATGGGAGCAGGGAAAGGGAACCTTGAACCACCTTGATATAGATCCGAAACCATGAGCTTTTTAGGGGCTTAAATTAATTAGAGTTTATATGGCTTAGGGAACCAATAACAATACCAAGAGTTGGTGGAGCTTTCGAAGATGGCGATTTCCTTTAGGGTGTAGGGTCCCGAAACGCAAGCCTGATGTAGAAAGGGTCCCGAAATCAATGCCAAGAGTTGGTAGAGATTTCGAAGATGGCGATTTCCTAAAAGAGTTGAGGGTTTAGGGGCCCGAAATCAGTACCAAGAGTTTGTGGAGTTGTCAAAGATGGCGATTTCCTATAAGAGTTGAGGGTTTAGGGGCCCGAAATCAATCCCAAGAGTTGGTGGAGTTGCCAAAGATGGCGATTTCCTATACCCTACATAATCCCGCCACCGAGGAAGCTGGGCGCCATATTGACGCTGGAAGAGTTCGAGAGCGCAAAGGCAAGGCCACCGTTCTTTTTCCGATTTAGTGTGTTCGAGTGTTCCGGAAACGGGTGTCGTGTCTCCTTTCCCTTGATACACAAATCCGAAGCCCTATTCCCGTAGCCAATAGAAGCCCTAAACACAGCAAAAGCCACAGGTGGCAAAAGCGCAACAACCACCAAAACCAATGAATGAACCTTGCGCCTTCAACCCACGTAAACCCGAAACCCTAACCGACAGGAACGCTTCCGAGCCATGGAGGAGCAGCAGTCAGCGCGAGCGAAGCTTGGCGGCTTTAGTGGTAGTTCCTAACCCTGACAACATGTAATAGACAGTAGTGGTCGTTGAGAACAGATAGTAACAGAATGTTAGATCAAACCAGTAGAATAATAATTAAGAGCATGACAAACGAGAACAGACCAGGGTAAGTAAGACGAACACGAACTGGTTCATCAACTACTTGGTTGATTACTTGATTATTTGGTTTGTCAACGAGTAGGCCAGTTAAGTAAGCAGGTAAGATAATACGAAGCGTAAGAGTAGAAATAACAACTTAACCAAACAATGAGAACACTAATAGTATCGGTCATTTTAACAGTGGTCGTATTAAGAATCAGAACTAGAGTCGGAACAACAACACACTGTTTAGAATACTGAACATCATCACCAACCCTTAGTCAGCTTAAGTATTTTTTCTACGAGCAAGAATAATTAAGTTGAATGCCTACTAACACAAAGGACAAAAATGATAGTCAGAATGGTGATAATTAAAATGTACAATATGAGACCTTAAAGACACCAACAATACCGAGGCAGCAGTAGTAATAGGTAATGGAAGCAAATGTTGGTAGTAAGCAGCCACAACAAATAGCAACAGCAATACACTAAGCAGAATAGTAATGAGACCAAGTGGGTAAAACATAAGAGCACTAATACTGCTAGTTAGTTTTAGTCAAAATACGAATGGCAACAGCAACAATAATGCCAATACGAATGCTGCTAACAACTGCAGCATCAACCACCAGCATAAAACAACGGAACAAATAGTGGCAGTATAAAAACCAGGAGCCGGATAAGAATGGTGCCCATGCACCGCAAACCCTGGATCTGCGCAGGAGTCTTGCGGCTGAGAGCTTTTAGGGGACATTGGGTTTGGGGTTTAGGGTGCAAGCCTGCAGCAAAAGGGTTTAGGGACTGACCAGGTTTGTGCAGAGCATGATCTGAAGTCACTGCTGTGGGCTATCAGTCCGGTCGAGATCTGACAAGGCCGTTGCAAAAGGGTTTAGAAACTTGGATTCAGGCCTTGGGGTCATAAGGGCTTAGAATCTTAGGACGTAGGATTCAAGTCTCCGGATTTCCCACATCATAAGCCTCAATACAGTAACCTCCAACATCATCGCCATCATGACCGTGATCCGCTTCTTTGGGAAGGAGGAGGTTGAACACAGATACAAGGCATGTGTGCATAAAATATATACACACATACACATGTGTGATCTTTCTATTGGTTGGCCATTCGTTCTTTCGTTTACTTACATGCGCCTATGCGCAGGCTTAGGTGTCCGAGCCCACTTCCCCTAGTAGCTTCACGGGTGATGATCAGAGTCTAGCGGAGTCTAGCTCCGAAATTCGCTGTGTGGAGCACAACCTGTACAGTGCACTAATAACGCTCATGAATCCTGCAGCCACACGATTTGTCTCAAAGGTAAGGTTGGGGGGTTGCCTTGGTCATTGTCCACCTGCCTGAATCTCAAACTCTCGATCAACGTGCCGAGGACTGGCACTGCCATTACTGCAAGCTCCCTTCCTTCGCAAATTCCGCCTCCAAGTGGATACGGCCCGCCCGACGTATTGAGTCTCCTGTGGCGCATCTGACTGACCTGTTCATTGGTGTGTTCGGGGTCCTTTCTGCTAGTTCCTGCAGCTTGTTCTTGTGTGGGGTGCTGCTTGTCCCAGGTAGCCTTCAAGGTCATAGCTGTTCAGGCTGTTCATGGCACTTCCAGCTACACTACCGAACTACTGACTCTTTGACCACGGGGTATGTTTCTTTCCCCTGTGGACAAGTCGCAGCGCATCACGCAGGGTGAATGTGTGCACAGGAGTGCTGGCCATTCAGAGTCGAGAGTGTGTCGAGTAGTGGTCTTTCGGGCGCCATGATGGCCAAGAGAGCTCTTTGCGTGTTGCTGCAGCTGGCTGCCGTCTCTGCATCGTCGCGCGACGGGCTGGCCCCCTTCCGGCGGCTGCAAGTCAGCGCCCCAATGGTGGTCCATGTCACCACAGACCCAGCTAGGCGGAATCCTGTCCTTGAAGTTGCGGCGGACTCCATGGGACTTGGATGGACTGTCCAGTCCCAGGTTCAGGTCATGACCTTTGGCTCCACCCTGCTTCTGGGCATGGATGACAGGGCCGTCAGGCAGCACTTTGCTTGGCCCAAGGGTGGCCAGATTGCCAACCTCACCGTGCCGGCACCACTCGAAGCCGTCGCCGTTACTGGCGGTGCTGATGTTTGGGTGGACAACGTGACGGGAGGCCTTGCGGCAGATAAGAAGAGCAATCTGACAGTGGGGCACATGAAGGCGAATCCAAATATCTCGCACTTCATCCTTGCAGACGATGCCAACATCACCATCATCTCGGGCGTGATTGGAGATGCTGTTGTCCAGGCTTGGGGCGGTGGCAAGGTAAACTTGGAGGGGAGCGACATTGCTGGGACGCTCAGCATCAAGGTCGATCCGAACTCCTCCGTCCTCATTCTTCCGCCGGCACCAGCGGCATCCACAAAGCCAGGGAAGGGCAACGCCACGGCCAACATCT